TATAAAGATTAGACACGGATGTTTTTTTCTGGGCGTCATAAATTTAATATTTTTATCAATTGCTTTTAAGAAGTTAATTAAAATTAATTAAGTATATGTAATATAGTATGAACAACATACACATGRATATTATCCATTTTATAGTTTAACATAAATAATTATTATTATGGCACTGTAGTATTGAAAAGTTTTTCAAAAAACATCAGTAAGTCACTGAGTTCAGCCACTGTATGTGTTTTCTTATATCCTGATTGTATTTTGTTTTTCGGATATGAACGTGCCATTTCTGTTCTTTAATCTAGCAAAGTAAACACAATTTTGAATAGCACAACTTTAATATCAAAACAAATAATGTTTATTAAAAATAATAACTTGAACACTTACCATGAGATAATTAATTAATTTTTAAAATTTTTCAAAGAACTGATTATTAACAATTAGCTTTTCTGAAAAAAAATTATGAATACGTAATTATTTGATAGAGTAATTAATACCAAAATGATTATACATAATAATATTATTCTTTTCATGTTGGACATACTAATAATTAAAATGTGCATTAACATATATTATAATTTTATATGCTTTGTTATTTAAGTCAATGCAGAATATTCTGGCTACTGGCTAGTGCATGGCCTTGGATATTTTGCCATAACATGTCATTAGTTGGCACACACATAAWGACAATAAAGCAGTCATTTGAAGCATCRTATGGTTGAACAATTTTGTGTAACAGAATTTTAACTCACTAAAAGAAGAAAATAAACTTTGTGTTTACTCAAATAAAATATATAAAATATAATCATATTATAAAATTATTTTGCAATTTGGTTTTGTTAAGTAAAATATGTTAAGTTTGTCAACTACTAAATTTGATAATTTACAGGTGTGAAATAAATAATCAACATTAAATAAATTTMTCTAAGGGAAATAAATGGTTAGGTTGGTAGCCCACGGTAAATTGTATACGGCACAAAGAAAAAAAACTGATAATATTAAATATTCTGGTGTTATAGATTATTATTTAATTAATATGTTTATTGGTTTTATGAAGGTCTGCAATTTTGATGGCCCTCAAACAATTACAATATTCTTAATTTAGTCCTTCAAAAACATTTATCTTCCCTGTTACCCTTTGAAAATATCTGTGTAAATTATTGCTAACAAAATCAAATTATATAAAACAATGATTTAAAAATGTTAATAATTTTCAAAAATATATAGTGTTTTTCAATAAGTTAATCACATAATATACAATATACATCATAAAAAAATCTTCGATTAATTAACTGATAACCAATGTACAACCTTTTTAGTTTCTAATAATGATCTACCAAATGGAAGTATTTAATATTCTTAAGATAACATTTCTACATTTTATAATACTCATGATTAGTTGTTAAGTCCTTAAATTTCAACATTAATGTTTATATAGATAATCTAATAACACACAATTCTTAAGTTGTATATACCTCATGTGCTCTGTCTTACTAATACACAAATAACATGGGTAAAATTATTTTATTTTACATTCAAAAGAATCCKTCTACTCTGTTATTTTTAATATTAACAAATAAATGTATGAATATTCTTGAGGACACAACAGGGTTATTTTGATATATAACTGATAAATATTTTATATCAAAGCAAAATGACCATATTAGAATTAACAGTATATTTTTAATTTTAAAATGTTTATATTAGTAAGACATAACATATGAATAACATACAGGTATTATGTTCTTATATGTTTGAATTAGAAGATATGAACAATAAAACATTTATTATTATTTAAGTAGGTAAGATTTAAAATGTATAATATAATGRATGGGATGGACATAATAATAATAATAACAAAAAATGTTTTAACATAGTAAATCATAGAGAATTATTATATTTTAACTAACTAAAACAATACCATTATATTATTATAAATAAACCATCATTATTAATAATACAATATTCAAAAATATTAAATTAACTGTGACATTTAAAATAATTATAACATAATACAAATTACAAATCAATAACTCCAGATTTAGTATAGATTTTAAATCAAAAGAGAGAACTATTCAAATTATTGCTGGTATTGTGAATATTCTTGACAAAATCATGGCTAAAATATTCGTCAAACTGTTATAAAGTTTAATACTTAAGTAATCATATCATAAAAAATAATATGACTAACAATAACAGTTAAAATGTCAGACTAAGTATCAAATAGTACAAATTGAAGTAAATTTGGAACTTATAWAGCCAATAGATTAGGACAATTAGTGAATTAAAATAATATATAAAAAGAAACTCTCATTAAGTGCTTACCACGGTAGTTCATTGAATGATAGAATAATATTTAAAATAAAAAGAACATACTCTATGAGTAAATCATGCTAACAATAGCCAAATAATAAATATTACTGCAATCCATAAGAAAAGTTTTGATAAGTATTGATCATCTTGTTGTAGTTGATTACCAACTGGAACTAATTAAATTTATAAATTAATTAAATTTAACAAGTTTAATCTATTAATGAAATCAATAACTCAAAAATGTAACTGTTGTGTACTTACTTCCATGTAGACGATCAGTGAAATTAAACGATGTTAAAAATCCAAAAGGAAATGCTCCTATTCCAAATGACAAATGAAAATTACCTTCTCCAAAGCTAAAAGTGGGTAAACTCTGAAAAAATTAAAACCAGTTTCATATGAATATGAGAAATAAAAATTTGTATGTTGATGACTCACATTATTAGCATCGGATTCTGTTCTTTGACCAGCCGGCCTAGGTGGCACTTTATTTCTGAAACATAAAAATATATTTAACAGTGAACACTGAATTCATAAGTATTATTTTCAAAAAGAAGTGAAATTGTTTGTTTGTAATGAATGTAAAATTCTTTCACTCATACAAAGCTAAATACTGTTAAAGACTTTAACTTAAAGTAACATCCTAGGTTAGGTTAAAAAAAAAATGATAGACCTTTAGGGTTTACGTATTAGGCGTAATCTTTATAAAAATAAACCTAATCCAATTACAAATAAATGTGCAATGTTATGATTTACGTATCAAAAATAAAACTAAAATCTAAGCTAAACCTAATTATTTTTTTTTTAAGTTTTGAGCATCACTAA